CACGAGATGATCTCTGTAGCTCTGTTCTTCAACTCCACAATTTGAATTCCCAGTTCGGAATTATTGACCGCTTTTGAGGAGACATTGTTTATACTAAAAATTATTTACATGTATGTTTCTGTGAGAGGTGTGATCTTCATTCAAAGTCACACCTTACATGAAATATTTTTTCGCTCCAATTCACTCAACGCAAAACAAAGGTGAACAGACACGAACCCTAATCCATTTGACGCGAACCTTTACTTCTAATGAATCAAGCTTAAGATTTCCTCGGGAAACTCGAGCACAGGCAAGCTATAAGATTTTATTTCCTTAGGCAGTTGTAGCCTGTTTCCTTTTATTCGCACACGCAAACATTTAGTCGCCTCATTTCATGTCGTGTATTAAGAATAATAGGCATCTGTCACGACGTTTTCCAGCACAAACCCAGATGTTGACCCAATCTTTTCTATTTTACGATAAAAAAACCAACCTTTCGTCTCCTTATTTGCTGGTGTACGAACCCCGTGGAGTAAATAAGAAGCCGATCTCTGTAGCTCAATTCTTCAACTCCACAATAGTTTAACTCACACAAACCATCGGCGCCCGCTGATCTCTCATAATTGTACGAGATACACCTTGACTCATCATGGCAGGCTTGAATACAGTTTAACCAGTCTCTGGAAAAGAACTGTTTGAAGGCATAGCCTACCAATGTGTGGTTATTTTCTGTCGATGGATGCAGTGCCAAAGTGATCGGCCCTTGAATGAGCGCCAGGAGAAAGGTGAAACGTAAAAGTTGGTCGGTCATCTTACAAGTAAAAAGGAATAGAATGACACACGACTTGATCTTAAATGGTAATTAATTTAGTGAACAACGGAAGAATAACGTTTTTATCATGGGCCATAAAAACACCTGCCTATTTTCAGTTCTAGTTCATTATTTCTCATTCGTCAACTTACCAAACAAATAAATTGCACATTAAAAAGCATAATCTGAATATTTCTTAAAAGTCAGCGCATTTTAATTAAGTTGGAGAGCAGGCCAATTTTGGTCAACTATCACAAAAACATTCGACCAACAGCATTGCTCTATGGTTAGTAGAAACCTAGAGAACACACAGCAAGATGGCATTCTCTTAAGCAAACATAGAAAAATAAAAACACTTTCTCTTTGTACTATTAACTTAGTATAGGTAAAAAAGCTTGTAGTGCTTTGGATTTTGTCAAATATTGATCCATACTTAGTTTAAGACGTTTTAGGTCTAGATATCATAAACGTTGGACGAATCGTCTGTGCCTAACACAGTTTTTATGCATTGGCTTAAAAGGATCGTGGCTCATACATAATTGTGCCACAGGCACCACAGGACATTAGCTTGAAAGAATAGATGAAACCCGCAGATAACGCGGTTTAAACGGGTATTCTGTGGACACAGAGAAGTTAATCAGCCGAGAATTTGAAGTTATTTATTATTTTTATTATCCCTATAAATAAAAAAGCGAAATAGCTGGTTTAGACTGGCAAAAATAGACAAAATATCTGATGTGCGATTCTAATTACACTTACAAGAGAGGGCTTTCAATAGGCAGCTGATTCCAAGTCATTAAATTTTAAAATTTCAATTGATCATAATAAAATCATAGTTCACGTGGTAAAATGTTTTCTGTTTGCAGTTTTAAAAAATCATCGATATATGCTACATAACTTTTCTAAGTACATGAATTCAAGTTCTTAATGTTTATTGCTGCGACTCTGCGTGGTCTGAAAATTCGGAATTAATTACCCCAGTTGATGGTTTCTTTGTCTTCATCACCTGTCTGATTGACAACTTGTTGGGAGAAAGTTTAATTTGACTAAAATATGCCTTTATGATCTACGAGGTGCTTATGAATATGCTGGCATTGCACTTTGATAATAACGAAGTCTCTTTCACACCCTATCAACACATTGCGCTACAGACGTATGCAGTTTTGCACAAATTTTGCTTTAAGAACTTGAAATTTAATACACACCAGGCGACGTCCATTGCAAATTTCTTCTGTAAAATCACTGCTTTTAGTGCATACGCTTTGAGATAAAAAAAAGATTCAATTTTCGCCTGGTCTAGTCACTTGAATTGGCCGTGTTCTGATCATCAGTTCACACCTTGGCGAAGAGTGGGAGTAACAGTTCTATTGTAAGCTCTGCATTAAATCAACTGCTGTCCATGATATCTCCCATCTTGAGATTTCTAATTGCTGTTATGATCCATCCTTTAATAACTATATCGATGCTAATATCAGGATGCTCTACGAAATATTGGACTCCATGGCCTCTTTTACAATACCTTCTGGAGGGTTTCTGCCGTTTGCTCGTACTGGTCCATCTGCACTTTTTTATATCTCAGATAGGTGATTGTGATCCTAAAGACTATCTGAGGCACCCGCGGTCTCGAATCGTTTTAACTTAAGCAACGCGCATTCTGTACCGAGAATGTAATTTTCCTTTCGGGGGGTTTGCAAAGTTCCCTTGGGCTCATTTACTTTTCGAAACTGCACCTTAGGTATCCGCACTCAACTGTCCGTCCGGCTTCTTGAATACGCGTTGACACGAAATAAATCAGGCGTCTACTAGTGACGCCTGATCTTGTACAAAGAGCTCGCCAGATACCAATTACCAAGTCTAAATATTATAGTTCAACAAAAGGGCGCACAAGCTGCGAAGCCTGATTTGCATCGCAATTTTCAAAACAAATGACTTTTGCGATGGACATGAGGCCAGTGTTATCTTATGTTTCGTGCACGCAAGGCTGGTCGGATCACTAGGAATTGGTTTAATGATATTTTGTGAAGTCGTTCTCAGATCGAGTGTAACAACAGAACCCTGACGAAGTGTGGTTGAAGCTCGATGAGCTTTATGCTTGTTACGAAAAATTGTCCAAGTGAAGTCCCAGAACATTCTATAGAACAGTCTAGAACCCGAAGTCATCCAGACGTGACCTTCTGGTATAAGAACATTCTGGAACGTTCTATTTCTTATGTAATTATTCAAATTTAGAAACCGTGTTAATCTACTAAATTTAGTTCTTTAAAGAAGTTTCTAGATCCTTGAACTTTATGTATATAAGGGCGATAGTTTCATCAAACAGAGAGAGAGAGATTTGTGAAGAAGCTTAGTGCTGTAAAGACAAGAAGTCAACTACGTGGAAATAAATCAGTTTGTTGCTGTTACCGGCGATCATGAGTTTTGTCTAGGAACAACCCTGCTCTACATCGACAACTCGTAACAATGCTGCAGTTTCAACATAACCTGTCCCCTTTCTTTGAACAGGTCTTAGGTGATCTCTTTGCCGACTGTTCTTCTGGCTAAGAGCAAGTCATCGATATCACTGCTAAATAAATCACACGCTGTATTGACCCGACCAAAACTACAGCCAAGACCTTTCGCTGGCTCCAGTGAGCAGCGCGCCAACGCATCAATCAGTATCGAAAAAGTATGAAATAAATAGTCGCATTTTATTAATTTATTCCATTATCTTTTATTAAATTTTCAATAAATTTTTACACAAGGCCTGAGGTATCACAGAAGGAAAAAAGTCTTTTTTTTTCAATTTCCTGAAATCTAATATTTTTGTCAGATAAATTACGTTACAAACTAAATATTTGGTCTGAATGACAACCATACAAACGGAAGAAAAAGCTACAAAGTACACATCCTACAAGTAGCTCCACTTCTTATTGGAAAATAACTTAGTCCTTTTTGCATATTTTGCGATTTCAATAAGATTTAATTGATACACTGTGTGAAAATAAAATATTGCCTTAAGATCACTGTAGTTATAAAATACGCTGCAATTCATGAGCCCAACGTAAAACAAATGTAAGGTCGTGCACTATGGCAATCGCCTAAAGTTCCGATAATGGGAAGAGCACAACTGGACGAGAACCAAATACTGTGTTGTTATGCATCGTCTAGTCCACTCAGAGAAAGCTGGTAAGGTTATGTTAAGATACATCGACTCCTTTTCACCTGCAGTTGAATGGTTAATACTTATAGAACACGACCAAACAGTCAATAACCTACCAGCTCCAAGCTTTCTTCGTCAAGTGAGCCGGAAAATTATAAGCATGCGAAAACTAAGCAAAAACTCCCAGTAGTGTGCGATACTAACCTTAAGAAAAGAAATTAACTCTTGGAGTAGTAGGCTATCCCAATTTCGTTCGCCAATTATCCACGTTCTTTCGTGATTTAATATAACTTCTTTAGTTTTTTTTTTTAAATTTTGATTCCATAAGACAACACTTTAGAGAGCTTACATGACTCTAAAAATCTTGACCGGCGTAACTCCTTAGAGTACGGAAATATTCTTAGAAATAATTGACAAATATTAATCTAAGTGGAGGTCAATATCCACCACGTTCACCGACACTGAAGCAGGTTACTGTTTTAGTGTGTAACGTACACGAACCAAACATGAGTTTATTTTGGTCAATATATACTGAAAATGGTCGAAATTGAACTCTTGACGCGGGATTCGTGTCTCCGGCTGCTCGGAGGTGAACAGTGCATAATAATCACTTATGAACTAACCAATAAGCGTGCGCGGAAAACACTATTTATATACTAAATTAAGATATTTTGTTTGATCCCTGACAATCCACGTATGAAGCGAGTCGCAGATGCAACAGAGAAGATTGTAGAAGAGAAATTAAAGTACGTGCGGATGTATATTGCCGTCAATGCAACCTTTTAGTAAGCAGTTAAGAAGAACTGACTGCAAACATGTTTTTGTGAGGATGAATTTGTTGTGGATGTTGCTGATGTGCGCTAATGGTCTGAAATCTCCACCAGGGGAGGGAAGGGATCACTTTTACCAGAGTTTGACCGCAGCTGTTCAAGGTAACTAGAGGTCATGCTGTCTTCAATTTGACGAACGTTCAGGAAATATGACGTTTCCACAGTCTCCAATTCATGACAAAAAACAAAACAAAAACAAAACACAAAACAAGATAAGAGAGATGGTAAGGTTTGAGCTCGGTAAAAGAAATAGAGAAAGATGTTTTTCGTCTTGTCACGAGCGTGGTGCTTTCTCTATTTCTTTACCGAGCTCAAAACTTACCACCTCTCTTATTCTATCAATAAACATGACGCTATCGACATAACTGATCCTGGCAGTATGCAGGACGCGTGTCATATAAACTTATCTGGATATGATGTCAAAAAATGGTGGACCTCCCACAGGCACTAAAGGCCACTTGCTCCCAAATATGTAGTCAAAAATTTGCAGCAACAACAAAACACAGAATATTTCATCATGATAATCTAGTTTTATCAACTGAGTCGATAATGTAAATCGGCCACCGTAGATAGTCTACAGCTGACGTTTCGAACGTTAGCCCCTCGCCACTCGCTCGGACAAAGGGCTAACGCTCAAAACGTCGGCTTTAGAATCTCTTTACGGTGGCCAATTTACATCATCAACCCAGTTGTGAAACCAAATTATCTTGTTGTACCCCCACTGCACAGCAGCACTACAGTTTCTTCAGAAACTAAGCAACTATATTTCCCCATGGAATGGAAAAAGAAAAACGCACTTTCAAAATATTTACCTTCTGCATACTAAGTTCACTTAAGAGTGGTGAACGGATGGCGCTTTCACGATTGTTACATGTAAATTCTACAGTGGAGATAGCAACAGCTGAAACCACAAACACAACACCTGCAGGAAAGAAAAATAACGATCAGATGTAAAGGTAACGGATTTTATGCTTGAGAGTAGTTTTATTGAGAAAGACGACAAAGAGGAAAAGGAATAAGAGAGGAGAAGGTGAATGGAGAAGTGAACACGAAGATAAAAACGATAAAAAAGGAAAATGAAGGAGCAGTAAAATAGAGTGTGGGGGGAAAAGGGAGTAATAAGAGGTGGAAGAAAAGGTAACGAAAAGGGAAGACAGATCTAAGATACAGAGAGAGATG